GCCTCCGCGTCCGAGGACGCCGCCTCCGCCGGCGCGCGCTCGGGCTCGCCCGCTTGACTAGATGGCGCCTGCGCCGGCCACCGCACCACGAACACGTCGTGGTCCGTGTCGTTGTCCGCACTCGAGTCCCTCTCCGGCGACACTCGCGCACTGCTCGGGCGGGGCGCGTGGTCGTGGTCCTTGGGCGAGCGCTCCGACACCACCCACCCGTCGCTGTCGATCTGCTCGCTGAGCAGCGGCTCCTCGTCGCTGGAAGGCCCCTTGCGCAAGCGGGGCGCGGTGCCAGCGTCGCTGCACTGCGCCTCGTCCGCGCTCGGCTCCGACTGCGACAGCGCGCTCTCCCCTGTCTCCCGCGCCCCCGCGTCGCCCACGTCACTGTCCGCTTGTGTAACCGCTTCCTGCGCGCACTCGCACTTCGGGGGCTCCTCTTGCTCCGGGTCGTCCCCGAGGTAGAAGCGTGGTTGGTCAGGATGGGCGGAGGAGTCTTCGGCGTCGGCGGAAGATACGACTTGCAGCTCCTCCACTTGAACGTCCTCTTCCGCCACCGACGCCTCGCACTCTTCGATGACTTCCGGCAGCTCGCGCACGGTGCCGCTGACAGCTGCCGCGGCGGCGGCGTACGAGAGGCTCTTGAGTCCGTTGCCGTCGATGGAGGAGAAGGGGATGTCTTCGTCGGAGCGGGAGCCGCGGCGCGGCAGCGGGTAGGTGAGCGAGCGCGCGCCAGGCACCTTGTGCGCGCCCTCGCCCGCCGGGCCCGACGGCTCCGCGCCCGCGCTCGCTTTCGCCAGCGGCATCTGCGGCAACTCGCCAGCCACGAAGCCTTCGTCCGACCCCACCGCGGAGTCGACGGAGGGCGTGGAGCCGGTCGGCTCTTCAGCGCTCACCATCGTCGAGGACGACGGGCTGACGGAGGGCGACGCAGAGATGTCAGGCAGGCGGCGGCGGGGCAGCGTCAACGACCCTCCGGCGATGGACGAGTTGGCCGACAGCGGCAAGCCCCCCCTGACGTTCGACACGGTAGTGAAGGCGGAGTACGGGCTCGTGCGTCCGCTGCTGCGAATGTACTTGCCGTCGGCCGGGGAGAAGTCCACTTGCGAGAAAGACGCGCTGCGTATCGGGATGGTGCGTTGCATGTAGGAGCCCACGATGGTGCGCGACTCGGGTTTGGACAGCTGGATGTTGTAGCACTCGAATATGTCATCGTTCTCGGCGCAGTCGGCGCGCGCGCTCTGCGGCTCCAAGGCGGCGTCCATGTC